CCAGTGGATGAAAGGCACGAGGAAGCTGCATTTCCTCTGTCACATCCATGCTCCATGCCTGGAGCAGCGGCAATTACTTTCATTTCTAGCACTTGTCCGCCTGCCTCATGGCAAGGACGGTTTCAGCTCCTGCCTCCATTGCTAAAGGTGCCGCTAACCAAGTCTAGCACCCGCTGCATCCAGCAGCCTCGGTGTTGCAGGATCCTGAGCTTTCCAAAATGCCTTGGCCACAAAAGCACCTCTTACCTGTGGAATTAGTGTAACTGTTTCAGGGATAATTAGCTGGACTGTTTCTGTGTTTATACAGGAGCACTAAGCAACTGTATGTATGCTTGTGTGCTTGTGGTTTCACTGGCTCATTAGAAGGATTAAAAGTCACCCCACTTGCTCCGTACAGCTCCTTACTCCACACAGCTAACATCTTAAAACTCAAAGCGTGGCATTTTCAGTCCAGGGCGCAGTCAGAATTCCCTTGTTTATCAGCATGAAGAATGATGTCATTTTGACAAATAACACAGCACAAAACAAATATGTTTGATTTGGCTCTAGCGAATGTTCATAAATCCTACATCTTTCTTCACATCCTGGGCAGTGCAGTTTATCTGGCTGCTTGAAGGACCTCCAGGGGAGGAGATCTTCCCAGCAGCTCTCTGCACAAGAGCACATGGTGCAGACTCAAAGCCAAGAGGGGAACAGCGTTCCCCATGCCTTTCTCCCTGCTCTAGCCTGCCACGGCCTCCCAGCCTCTGCCAAGTGAACGGGACTGTACACTTGGCTGTGGCTTGGCACCACAGCCACCCCTCTGCCGGCACCTTTTGCAGAGGGTATTCTCCAGTGCCCTGCAGATAGCTGCACACAGTGAGTGGAATATTTTCCTAACAAGGGTAGAGAGGGAGAAAGTTTTGCTTGGCCAACGGCTGGCTGTCAGTTCACAAAACCCGTACATCCCCAACGCTTCTGCTTTTGAGCCTTTTGTTGTCAGCCCAAACCTCTCTAGGGATGGAAGAATGAAGTCTCTGTTATCTGAAGGGGTCTCCCCAGTATCTGGGGTGACAGACAACACGTAGAAAGGAGCTCACACCCTTTGCCTGCTAATAATGTAGGAAAACTGACAGCATGGTCTGCAACATTCACATCAGATGGGGTGGAGAGGGGTCTATCTGTTTTTCAGATGAACATTTATGATCTGCTTTCTCTATTTTACTAGGCTCTGCAAGATTCAGTAGCTCGGTAGCATTTCAAAAGAAGATCTGCATCTATAGGACTGAAGAAAGCAAGTTTCTATTACCAAAACAGTCTAGACTTGTTCAATAGCTCACAGAAACTGTGATGATCAGCACTGATAGGTAAGATAGATAATGGTTAACAGCTGACCTTTCATTTGATTAATTCATGCCCCAAATTTGCATGACGGAGACAACTGCCTATTACTTGAGATTCCTTGTCATGTGGACCTCTGGGAACTTTACTAAATAAACCTGGCACATAATTGCTACCAACAATATTTTGTAAGATTAATTTTAGATAACAGCAGCCACAGGCCAGTTAAAACTGTGGGAAATCACTTATTTCTATCATCATTTTATCAAAAGCAAGCAAGGAAAGAAAAATGACAATGGGCATACACAAAGATAACCTCTTTGTAAAGCAAACACAGACCACTCTCAGGAAGAGAGCAGACACTAACCATGAGGGCCCACTATGGACAGGCAGGCTTGTTCCTTCCCTAGCCATGGTGGCTTCTGAAGGAGCAATGACTTTTTAGAAAGTAAAAACAGGAGAATGGAGTGAGGACATTTTGATTATTCAAGCTACAGACTGTTAATAACTGCCACTGAGTCTGGATGATGGCTGGTCATAAGCTGAGCTCCCCAGCATGAAAATAACTCACGGACTGGTCTCAAATCAAGACACAGGAACCTGTAGACAACCCAGCAAGGGTTATATTGAAAAGCACACTCTTTAAAAGATCTTGCCTGCCAATTAGGCAAATATGCAGCAATTACTTTGTTGCTCTATTATGTTAAATAATTCTTTGAATATGAGCATGCGAATTCATACTGACTTCACCGGGAATTTGATGCTAGACTCTACACTAAACATATCCTACTGGGTAGCCACGGCATGTCAGGCTGTGGGCTTCTCAGACCTCATAAAGTAAACAAGGTTACGGCTGGTCAGTACATGTCTGGGGCATCTCCAAGGAAAATCCAGGGTGCTATCAAAAGCAGCGTAGCTAAATCAGTTGCTGGCACTCTTCCCTCTGAGTCAGTTCTGAAGTGATATCCCGATAGGCTTTGGGGACACTATTTTTGGTAGAGGTGCTGGCTTGTAGACAGGATATAAAACTGAGGTCTTGACCTCCCAGGATTATTAAAGAGCCCATGAAAAAGAGTGCATACTCCTGTGTCTGGAACAGATAAAAGCTGAATCTTTTTATTTTGCCCACCAACACGTTCTTTCTTATTTCCGATAGAGTTCATGCCTGTCCTGCTCTTCCTGCGTGCAGGTGCCCCTTCCTTGGAGGAGGTGCACTTCAATGGCAAGCAGAGGGAACATCTCAGACACACTACATAGTTTGCAAAACATGCTGAATGCTAGGCTTTCTGATACACAATGTTTTAGTTTAGTTACAATAAAATATCATGGAAAATTAATAAGCATGAAACATGATGCTCGTGAGGTCAATGCCAAACTCTCAGGGAGGCTGGGACTGGGGCTGGCTGTGAAGGCTCAAGCCCTGAACAGGGGCAGTTTTCTAGCAGCCCTGTCCTGTGCGCACATGAAGCACGGCTGACAGAGTCCAGAGGCAGTTCTGCTGTGTAGGGCTCCTACAGCGAAGATAAGATTGTGGTGAAGTGGGATGCCTTGCAGAGGGGGAGGGTGAATCCTTTGGGCTTCAAAAGCCTTACGCTGTCACACTGAAATAAAGTGACATAACACGGAGACATTCAAAGACTGGTGATAACTTGGTTTTGTCCACCATGGCTGCAGGTACCAGCAAGTTAGTGTACACAGTACAGTGAGTTAGATGTCAAAGTCCCTATTTAAGCACTTCAGTAAGTGAACTGATTTGCAAATGTGCTGAGCACTCAGCAGCTACTCTTGACTTCTAAGTCCTCTTAACTTTGTCCTTTTCACAAAATTCCCACCAGTTGTCAGGGAAGAAAACTCAGGAGAAATGTCTGCCTCAAACTTTTTCTCTCTGTCTCTCCCTCCAGCACATATAACTCTGGCAGTCATGTATCTCCCACTTGTCATGCTTTCCTTGTAGCATCCTATTTTTGAATATAAAGCCAATTTACTAGCTAGTGCAAGTCTTTCCAAAAGAGGAAATAAACCAGGAAAATCCTTACAGAAACTCTGTGTTCTGACTCAAACCCACAGATTCTCTGCTAGGTTTGTGCCAGTTAGATTCCAGCCCCGGAAGGACTTAAACTACATGCTCAGAGCCAGTACACAAACAAATATTCCTGCTGTCTAGGAGGAGAACCATTTTTATCACTGTCTGTGCTAGAGAGATTGGTTACAAACCCTAAGGTTTTAAAGAGGAACCTAGTTGCGTAGTTGAGTGGTTCACCTGGAGCAGTGGCAATTGGTGACAATGTGATGTTACTGCACAACTCTACACCAGCTGCAGAAAAGATCCCCAAAGGACTGGTACCTATGGCCCTGGCTTACCAGCAGTCTCTCTGCAAGAAACTGTCCATACTCTCTCCTTGGACTATCTGGATTATGTCATAGCAAAATACAATCAATGCACCTTTGATCAATGGAACAGGGTGGTGACAGGTACTCTTAATTCAGAGTTGTTAGTGAGTATTGACAAGCCTGTAATGATCATGCTGCAGTGTGTCATTCATGCTGGGGGCATTAGCATTCTTTAAAGGTCAAAAACCAAATCCCTCTAGAAGACAGAATTCCATACAGTTAATGGAAAATGCAGGCCTTGCGAAGTCAAGATGTATGCCTCTGCACAAGTCTTGGAGCGAGTCCAGAGGAGGGCCACAAAGATGATCAGGGGGCTGGAGCACCTCTCCTATGAAGACAGGCTGAGAGGAGAGTTGGGATTGTTCAGCCTGGAGAAGAGAAGGTTCTGGGAAGACCTTAGGGCAACCTTCCACTACCTAAAGGGGGCCTACAAGAAAGCTAGAGAGGGACTTTTTACAAGGGCATGTAGTGATAGGACAAGGGGTAATGGCTTTAAACTGAGAGAGGTTAGATTTAAATTAGATATAAAGAAGAAGTTCTTCACTGTGAGGGTGGTGAGGCACTGGAACAGGTTGCCCAGAGAGGCTGCGGATGCCCCATCCCTGGAAGTGTTCAAGGGCAGGTTGGATGGGGCTTTGAGCAACCTGGTCTAGCAGAAAGTGTCCCTGCCCATGGCAGGGGGGTTGGAACTAGACGATCTTTAAGGTCCCTTCCAACCCAAACCATTTTATGATTCTATGATTCTATGAACTGAGGTTATCAGAGCCGAAGTTGGTACAGTTGTTGGCATTATTAATCAGTTCATCAATTTGCAGGTGTAGAAACACATGTACGCATGCCATGGATGAACACTGCAATTCTTACATAAAAGTGGCGTAAGAAAATTTCCAGGTTTTTGTGCACAGATCATGTCATTTCCAGAGGTATGGTTAAAGTACAGTCCTTGGATCCTGCAAGGGATCCACTGGATAAGCTGACCTCTGTAGGCTTTTATCTGCACTCTGACACAGAGTCTGCCCACTTTCAGCTGGGTACCAGACAAGCTTATCAACTTGCACATGCAAGTTTGCAGATTAAGATTTTTTCATTTACTTTAAAAAATTATGCTATTTTATTTTCCGATGTTAAAAGATGTGGCACACAAACACTGCCCACTGATGAGAAGTGGGGAGAAGAGACTCTCAATTTTCAAGACACTGTTTCTGAATTGGGGAAGGGGCACGATAAGAATCAAAGAAAAAAACTGGGATTGCAGAAACCACATAAACCGGCCACAAAATGGTACTTACTTTGTGAGACTCTTACTAGCTCAGTCACACTGAAAACACCTGATGTGACAAAACTGTCCTGGAAGCCCAAATGTCCTACAAAACAAACAGAGTGAGAGAACTGCGATTAGCTTTAAGCATTTAATGACAGTATTCTCAAGTACTTTACTTTCATTTAGACTTAAAATGTGACATCTAATTTCCCACTTAGCAGTAATTATTGTTTATGTAGGTGGGTAACTAGTCATACAGCTATGTAGGCTGCTTTGTGGTTTCTATCTAGAGGTTAGGAAAGCTAACATGACACATCAGCAGGGAGATTTTTACATGTTAAAGCATCTCAACAGGAAATCTGAAACAAAAGAGGACTATTTTAATAAACGGTTACCTTGGATGACCCCTAATGACTTCACAATTGAAATGAAAATACTGTACCTAGGAAACAGACAGGACAGCTAAGTTCCATAATCGTTTTAAACATTATTCTCTAAAGAAACATCTGATCAGGATTATCTACCCATTCATTCAAACAAAACAAGATTTAAAGATGTACTCTTCATTTTTCTAAGGTTACATTAGGGAAATCTTAAAATAGCAGCTGGTTAAAAAAAATTAAATGAATGTCTTTCCCACAAAAAAAAAAAAAAGAATTCTAACATTTAAAACTAGCTTTTGAAAAGAAAAATAAATTTCTGCATAAGAAAAGTATTAACTTTGAGCTTTAGACTGTCTTTAGGAACCAAGGCATACGCTTCCACGCTGGCCTCCCTTGTGCAAGGAATGCCTCTACACTTGGTATCAAAATGTTATTGCACTTTACATAACAGTATTTTCCTTCTTCTCTGAAAACATGCCTACCACCAAATGTTCATTTAATTTTCACGGGTATGATCAATTACAAAAGGAGCAGCTTTCGGGCTGCAACCCAGTGTAAGTGTGTGGAGTGGGATACAGCAGTTCACGCGGGACATAACTGGACTTCAATTAGAGGTCTGCAGTTAGTCGGCCAGACTGACATCCTGCTTTTGAAATCAGGGTCAAAGGAGAAATCTCAGGATAAAGAGATTATTAAAAGAACTGTAAAGTCCTACTTGTCCACAGGATAAGTGGCATACCTTTTTAGGTTGTCCTACTTAGAGTCACTGATTCCAACGCACGCACACGTATATTATTGAATGTTTTGCAGGGGCACCATCTGCTCCGTTGTTAATTGTTTGTCAGATTCAGTACAATTTCCCTACGTTCGGTATATGGCACTGTACCCCACACTCATCCCGGCAGTACCTGTGCACCTTCCTCTAATGACCAGAGCAATAGGACTAATGCAAGCTGCATATTTGTTCTCCTGGCTTTCTTTTGGGGTTGTTATAAAAACCCCAACATATCCCATGGCCATTTCCACCTGCAGAATGGGAAGTAAAAGAAATACATCTTGTGTGCAGGACTACAGAGGGTGACATGTCAGGGAAGGTGTCAGGGAAAGGTTTGGGAGAGATCTGGAGGGAGGTCAGCCATTCATCTCCAGCCAAGATCTCAGCGAATTCTGCTCCTGCACAGAAGAACTTCCCTGCTTCTGTGAGGCTCCTACAATGCCAGATGAACGCAGTTGCTAAGCTAACAGACTTGAGACAAGTTTCTACATCAGGCATGTTTTTATACTTCAGCAATAATGATGAGTTTTCAAACTGTGTATATGTATATCTTTGGGCATCCTTGTGTATGTGTGTATACATATGTATTATGTACACAAACATATAAATATACACAAATCTGTCATACTCCAGCTGTAGATAAATGTACTATAAAATATTGAAATTGATGCTGAAATTCAACACAAACAAATTCCTCAATCTGCAAACAAGGTTTTTATTTACATCAAGAGAATAAATTTTTCTCTACTTCAAATGAAAAAATGTTCTTACAAGCTTTTATTTTTCCTTATTTTCAACTTAGAAATAGCTCTCAGATAATTGTAAATGCTTTTGCCTGATCTGCTTTGTATTTTACCATAATAAAGGTGATGACTACATCATTCTGCTTTTTAGAAATGGTTGCTGGCCATACACAACGTTTGTTCATTGACAATTTCCCAAGTATTTTTAATATGAAGATCTACTTTTCATATGCTGCAGCAGACCTGCCTATTGAATTAAATGATCTGTGAATTAAAAATAATTCTCTTAGGTCTTCACTGAAACCACTCATGTGCCTAAAATTAAGCATATGCTTAAGTGCCTTGCTGGATCAGGGCCAGGACGCTTACTACTCCGCAGAGCCCTTCGTAGGGAAGCCAGTCTATGCTATATAACTTCTCATACTGTGCTCATCATGGCAGTATCTGAGCAACTTCCAGAAGTGCATTCAGCAATGCTATGAACATCTGTCACGTGTTGTTTTTTCACAGTGCACCATACTGGCTCTGCTCTGGTGTCCACTTCCACCTGCATTTCTCAGGCAGGTTCCTATCGCACTAAGAGTGAAGGTGAAATTTAAATATTGAAGTAAAAAACAAATCACAGCTATGGTAGGATATCGGGTTGATTTTTTAAGGGAAAGTCTACAGGCCTTTGTAATCATCCAATAAAAACATGATTGTCGCACGGCTAACCATGTTACCTTAGCCTAGCAAACACAGATAAAACCAGAAAAGAAAATGCCGTAGAATGGTTTTAAATACATTCTAGCTTTCAGGGTCCCGCAGGGCATGAGAATAGTTGAATAAGTTATTTCTTTAAGTGCTAATAAGTGCTAATTTCTTTATTCTTATTTTGCTGGGTATACTTGAAATGTCCACTTACTTCTGTAGGAACATTTCTTATGCGTGTACATGTAATAGTAATCATTAAACAACAGCACGTCAATGAGAGTGATTAGATTTTCATCCTTCAAGACTGAAAATAAACATTTCACAAATGAAAGGTGAATTTCACAATTCTCCAATTTGTTATTTACTTATAAACATTAGGAAATCAGGGGCTCGTCTCGCCAATCATTAATAATATCTTGATACCCATAAAAGCAATGCCCTTGGCTTAGAGTTGTATCTTGAACTCATTTCGATGCATGGTTGGTCTGTGAATTTGCAGTTCAGTAGAACTCTGTGAAAGTTTAAAGGTTTGCCTGCATGGTTCAGATTGTAAAATCCAGGCCTAAGACTGTAGCTTTTGCTGAGCTGTGATAACCATGCAACAAGAAAATGAGAGAAATAGGACAAAGAAGCTAGACATGTAAAAGAAGAGCGACTGGGAAATACCAGGATTGACAAAATACGTGAAGTAAACATTTTGTGCCTATTAACAGGGGTCAAAATGCAAAAATATATCAATTTGGCTGTTCCACTTAATTCTGAATGAGAAAAAAAATAGGTAAAGTCAAGCAATTACATATGCAGATGTTGGCATTAACAAGCTCCTTTACTGAAAAGATGATTAAACATCTTGAAAGCTTGCAAGATTTACTTTTCATACGGCACTTTACTGAAATACGTGCACTGTGATCCTTTTGCTAAATATCCCAAAGACAGGACACTAAAACTGCTGTATATGATTGGGTTATCTCCACAGCTTTGTGCGACAGTCACATTTTGGTAGTAAAGCAGGTGTTCAAAATGAGGATGAGAGAATTTTTACTCACTTTATAAAAAACTAACAGAGCTCATTCACTGAAATTCTGGGTATAAATTAAGACACCTGGCTAGCCAAGGCAGGTCCTGACTCAGCAAAGCAGTTGGAGCACGTGCTTAATTTTAATCACATGCTTGACTAAAGCACATGCTTATTTGCCCTGCCAAATAAAGATGGGCTGACAAAGTTAAGCAGGCATTTAAATATATTGTTGAATCATTTCTTCAACCCAAGTCTAGGTTCAGCTAGGAGTTAGCTCATTACACAAGACCTCACTTTGGCTCATGAGGATGATGGTTTTTCCCCCAGGGGGAAAAAAACCCCAGGCTAATCAGACCAAATTGAATAAAGCAGATCAGGATACTAACTAATAAATAATATGCCATTACCCAATCACACATTTGGTATAGCATACAAATGCGATGCAACACTACCGTAACCAAGTACCACATGAAAAACATCTTTCCATAACTTGATGACTGCTTTAATTGGGGAGAAAATTCATAATGCCATTTACATATTCTTCTTTTAGATCCCAGTAAAGAAGCCAGAAGAAAAGGCTTGAATGCTGGAGCCTAATTCTGATCTCAAAGAAGTTTTAAACAAGTCTTTCTACACTGATCAAACAGAGTTTCACCTAATTTTCTCCTAATTTACACTGGCAGAGGAGAAATCAGGATTAGGACTTGTTGTCTAATGCTATTTGTTTTGAATTATTAAGCAAACATTCCTATTTCAATGAGTAAACGTGTACAAAGGCAACTAACCTTCGTCCTAAAATCTAGTTTACAGGGAGAGTATTGTCTGCTTTCCCAATTAATGCTGTAAAAAGGAGTCTCAGACGTTGAGCTACCAATCAAGAGCTTGTGTTGTAGCTTGAGAAAATCATGACTGATGCAATTACTTTTATGTAGAAAGTCTGAATATGGTCTATAGGTTAAAGTTCATCGGGTTGTTGTTCCTTAATTGAATATCAGAAGATGTTTTCAAGGTGCTCAAGGTATTATTGTTATTTAATTAGCAGGCTTCCTTGTGTAATCCAACAGTATTATTTTTATTATAAAATAGTTAGATTGCATCATAAATATACAAGGTATTTTCTAAACAGAGATACAGCTGGTTTCCTGAAATCCAAGCTTAAATAAAACCGGGAAAGAGTTACTCCTTTGAAGGTGAAAAATTCCAAACCCAGTTATTTCTCTTCCACTGCAGTCTGAGTGACAATGTATTAAGCTTTGGAAAACAGCTTTTTGGGAGACACTGATTCCTTTTCAGTGTTTTGAAATTACACAAGTCCCCCGAAGCTGGCACTGAAGCCATTTCTAAAGCCTTTTTCATGTTCAGCATCTCACTATACATAGTCATCTTAAAACCTTAAAATAGTAATAATCAATTAGGGTCTCAAGCCTATTATCTTAACCAAATGCCCGATTAAAAGAAAAGCCCTCTCTGCTCAAAGTGCAACTTGATTCC